CGCATACTGGATGTAATAAAAATACGCTGCAATACGTAACTTCGATGTGTTCGCAACGTGTCGCCATATCGGTCTCGCGAAGAATTTCTTTTTTGCGATTTGTCTTTCTGGATCGACTCGCGACACGTGAAGTCGCGGCAAAGGTACGGATAATTTGTCATTAATAATCGATAATAGTTCCCAGACGATAGTAAACAATCGACTCGATACAACTGGTCGAGTATGTCAAATGATTACTATTAACCGGCGCCATAATTTCTCGGCAGACACCTCTGAACGAGCGTACAGTCTGTTACAACGTATAGTACTCTATATATTAATAAAATTTATCTCGGTAAACCTAGAAATCCAAGCCGGAAGGTATACGATATCTCACTGGCATTGCCACCGTGGAAGCCAATTATTATTTCAGAAACGCAGCGCGATTACGGGTTTGGAGAAACGAATTTCCATGGTTCATTTGCAACGCGGCAAATATTTACAACAACGTCCAACCGGCCTGGACTTAATCCGGCAACATCTCAAGTAACACGCAACGTTGTTGCCGCAGGGTCGTAGAATGTTGCAAATTACAACCCGAACCTATCCGGACGTTTCTCATTCGACGAGTTGCATTACCGGGTTCCGAGCTTTACCCGTCACAGCTGAATTCCAGGACCGCTGATCGGGCGAAGAGGATGCCGGTACACGGCCAGAGCCAGCGGTTCGGGAATTCTCTTTATCTCCACGAAGATGGCGCGCTAGGTGCCTTTGGTTCCGATCGCCAGGGCGTCACCCCGGTTCACCCCAAGCTGCACGATCATTCAGCCGTGGACCACCGCCCAATTTCTCTCTGCCTTTCTACCACTCTCCCCCTGCCCCCTCGTGCAGCCACTCAGTAGCCGGGGAATGCTCGAGAATTCCACGGCACTGTCCGAGGTTCCAGAAGAACCAGACCACCGCTTTATCCGCCACGCATCTTCCTCGTAGAGCACACACGCGAACACTCCGTGTGTGTTGGTCCGTCTAGCTGGCTGTCCGTGCCACGGTCGCAATTTACACCCCGTGGTGCCCGGGACAGGTATACCATCGTGTCGTGGAACACGGCCCCTGTACGTGCACATCCACGCACACGACAGGGTGACCGACTGTGCGTCCTGTCCTCTCGCATCGGGTCGCGATCGTTCGAATAATTGGACCGGTCTCTCCTCTCCTCTCCTCCCCTCTCCGCTCCGATACCGGTCGAATTTAGGCTGCCAGTTGACGAAACCTTTGTCTCCGGTCTGACGGTTTCGCTTGCGTAACCGGGGAGGATCGTTGGATCATCGATGAACATGGCTGACAGGTTCTCGAACGATCCAGTCGAGTTTGTGGCAGTGGAGAATAATTTCTCCCGATGATCCATCGTTTCTCTACGCGCTTCTTCGTCGTTTCGTCGACGGATCTGAAAGAAAGCATCTCTATTTTATCTCTCGTGAATCTTTTTCCGGTTCTCGCGACGGATTAAATCAATTCACGAGTTTGCCGTGTATAAAAAAGGGTACAGCCATCCGTTGTTGTCTAGGTCGTTTTCTGTATCGTTCCATCTATCGAGCCGTCCGGGCAACAAAGGGCGCCGAGGCATTTCTCCTTTTGTACTTGGAGTTGCCATGTTGGATATCATCGGGACGGGCGGTGCGTTAAAGGATCGAGCGGTCTCGATGCGTGGTGGACCACGGGGGTGGGACATTCATCTCCATAGATTAGGTTCGGGGGCTACATGCCTTCCATGTAGCTCCGACACACGGAGCCGAGATACCTGCGAGACCACGCCTGTTCCCCGAGTCCAAACTTTTCCATCCTTTTTCTCCACCGCTCGAAATTAAATTCGTGATCGGGGAGGATAAATCAAGCCCGGACAGACGCGAACGTATTCGATGGACTTTTATCCGGACCAAGGCCGAGTACTCGGATATTCGCGTATCGAATCACGCAGGCGTGTGTCCGTGCGCAAAAACTCATCTCACCCAGCGAGACTCGTGGCTAATGAGACTTTTATTTACGTTCTGTTTCAGGAAAGGCTAGCAGCGACCAAGGTGAGTACGTCAGCTTGAAATTGATCGGGCCCAGCGCGACCCGTGTATCCTTGTTAATCGTTCGATTAATTAGCCGAGCAAGAGCTCGTAAGCGCGTCGTAAACTTGATCAAAAGTCATCCCCGCGGTTCTCCGTGATTAAGGTCTTCGTGAAATTCGCGTTGCGTCATCGCGAGCCGGGGAAGGAGCTGTTGTATACAGCGTGTACAATACGAGCAGCCGTTTACCCCGTGGCATTGAGTCTCGGCATGAAAACAAACAGGCGGCGTTATATTTAAACCGAGCCATGGAGCGTAATGAAGCTCATCTCGGGGCCGAGGAAACGAAGAAACGGGGAAACGGTGAAAAGAAACGGGGGATAAGGAAGAGAGTAACGAATAGGTCGTCCACTGACGTGCAGAATCTCTCGCGATCGAGAACTTTTCCCGCCCCTATAGTACCTTTCCACCCTCGCGCGCGCGATCCTCGAACGCGACGCTCCCCTCGGCCCCCTCTGGCCGCAACTAGTCGCTGTATCTAATGCCGCCGCTATCCCGACCGGGACGAGTTCAGTGGTTTCGAAGAGTCGAGCAGACGACGCTGGCGAAACGCGCCAGTTTCGCTTGCATATTCCTCGCGGGAACGGGACAGAGGGGAGGGACGCGGTCCCGGCCGAATCGGAAGCGAGTGCAGCGCCATCTGGATCGAGTGGTCCGGCGCAAAAACCGAGGAAACGGTCGCGGGCGCGTAGAACCGTGGCTACCGGGCCGATCAGTGACCACCGCGACGTTTCTCCTTGTTTAATTGATCGATTCGAGGAGTCTGCGTATCTTCGCTTGTTCGTGGAAAAATACTTGCCGGATCTGGTAACACGAAACCGCGAGAGACGTGGTAAATACGTCTCCGAGCAGAGTGGGCTCGCTACTCGCGTGGACTGTCCCCTAAGGGAGGAGAGGTAGATAGAAAGAGTCTTTGCTTTCGAGACAAAGGTGACGAGACGTTGAAGAGAGTAAGAGGGAAGAAGATTTAGGAAGAAGGAGAGCGAGACGAGAGAGAGAGAGAGAGAGGGGAGAAATTAGCCGGGAGAACGAGGAGAAGCGAAAGACCGTCGGACAGAAGGCGATCCCGGGACAGCTAAACCGAAAGTTACGGGTACGATTAGAAAGATCGATACGAAATTGCAAACTGGAGAAATTGTGGGTGGCGTGTTTACGAGCTGACCAAGGGGGACACGAGCGGGGACGAAGGGAGAGAGACCGCAGGCGTAAAAACAAAGGAGAATCGGAGGAGGGAAAAAACGGATAAACGCGTGCGAGGTTAATCTTCGAAAAACTGCTGGCTGGCTGACTGGCTGGCTGGCTGGAAAGCGAAGCACGAAAAAGAGGGAGCGGCGAAGGAAGAAAACGAGAGAAGAGAGCGCGGAGAAAGAGAAGAGCGGAGATTAGAGAAAAAGGGAGAAGGAGCGAGAAGGAAGCATCGAGGGGGAATGGGAGAAAGAGAGAAAGAGAGAAAGAGTATCGTGCAAGACGTCCGAAGGCTGACGTGCACGGGAGTGTAGGGTATAAGGCAACGTGGTGAACAGGACTGCACTGGGAAGAGAGAACGCAGAGAAGAGTGTAGAGCGGTGGTGCGGAACACACAGAGGCGAAGAGAGCAAAGCGGAGAGAAACGTGGTATGGACGAAGCGCGAGAGCGTGGTGTAGCGAAGCGAGAGCGAACGAGAGGTACTGGCAGTTGAAAAGAAAGAAGAGAGAGCTGGAAGCATAGGCAGGAGCGAAGATCAGAGTGAGGCGAGTCAGTGTGGAGAGAGAGAGCCATTCATCTTGGCGCGCCTAGGCGGGCCGCGATTGGTCCACCTCGGATAAGGGAGCGGCGCGATTGGTCGGCTGTGTTTACCAGCTGGTACCTCAGCGCGCTCGAGAATCGTAGAAGAGAGGGGGGAACAGAACGGAGAGACAAGCGGCGCCATTATTGTAAGGGGTTACATTTAGCTGGCCGTGGGTTGTAGTACGCGGCGTTCGGGATAGGGGGCTATAGTACCTTCATGCATGGCCCATAAAGGATTCGTCGACTATCCGAGAAGTACGCAAGAAACGGCTTCTAACACCTGACAGGGGCCACGCTCTTCTCTTCTCTTCTCTCTCCTCGTGCCGTCGCCTCGATCGCCGTCGCAGCCCAATTTCCTCACTGGGACCGCTCTGTTGGATCAGCTGGGTGGGCCCGACCGACGAAAGACCCGCTGCTTTATTGTCATTCGTCGTCCCGATGTGGAAGGAATCGTAATTACCATAAAGGAATCGTAACGTCGACCCGAAAACCATACCTGGACGGTGGATCCTCTTTGCCCCGGTGTGTGATCGACGACACGATCGTCCGAAAGGACCGGCCACGGAGGGAAACGAACGATCTGGAAACGTTCCGGTGTGCCGTCTGCCGTCGCGAGCGGTCCGGTAATCGCGATCATCCGCCTACTAGCCGATGTCCATCCTTGTCCGCTCGCGTCCGCTATCGTTCCTGTGATAATGTGTAAAGTTGCGTAAGTGGCGATCAAAGTGGGGGTCAAAGGTAACGGATAAACAAGGGAAAGTAGAAAGACAGCCAGAGGAGGAGGAGAAGGAGGAGGTGGAGGAGGAGGTGCGGAGGAGGAGAGAGAGCAACTACGGCGACGATTGAGTACGAAAAGTGAGAAAGAAACGACGGGGTATAAAGAGAAAACGATTAATCGAACAGTATATCGAGTGCGTGCGTAGGGTGCGAAAGAAATTCCGATCGATCCCCAAGATCGACCGATATATACATTATCCCCGGTGATAGAGAACGGTGATATCGGCGTGTGGAGTGTGCGTGAGGATGAAGCTGCAGCTGGCAGATTTGCCGGCACGGTGTCGGTGTTGAGACACCCGACCCGGTCTCCGTGTCCGGGCGTGTCTTCGGCATCGGTCCGAAATCGGCACCGGTTACAGCCGATATGAGTTCGAAATTCATAATCGATAGTATGCTACCTAAGTACCACCAGCAGTTCCATCATCAACAGTTGTTCTCGAGCGCGAACCCCGGTACGATCCAGGCGTGTACCACGAGTCCGGCCACCGCAAGCCTTGAATCGAGTTTATCCGCGGCTGCAGTTGCGGCCGCGGCAGTGAATTACGCGCAACAGCACAATTCGCCCAGCCCGACGGGCTCGAGTCCCCAGCACTCAGGAAGTTCGGCCTCTACGTCACCGGCGGCACGCACCACCTCTAGCATGTATCCCTACGTATCGGCGGCAGCGGCGCACCATCATCACCAACAACAACAAGCGGTCGCGGCAGCGGCCTTCGGTGCCACGTCCAGCATGGTGCCAGGCTTCGGTTCCAGCGCGGCTTCCAGCGCCGCGTTGGCCGCGGCCGCGGCCGTCGATGCCGCCACCGCCGGCGACAAGTCTTGCCGCTATACCGCCAGTCTTACCGGAAATGTCGCACCAACCTCCGCCGATCCCATGGTAAACTATACCCTTGGTCATCATCATCAGAACGGTGCTACACCCGGTAGCCTGGTCTCGTCCGCGTCGGCCTCGTCCGCCGTGTCCGCTGCCTCCGCCTCCATGGCTGCTGCTGCACAATTCTATCATCAGGCCGCCGCTGCATCGGCCGTCGTTGATCCCTTGACGTCCTGCCAACAACCCACCACCGGACAACCCGGCATCTCGGACATACCTCGATATCCATGGATGTCCATCACCGGTAAGTCCTCAGTCCTTTCTTCTCTCTTTTGTCGTTACCTCCGCTTCGTGATTAGCTTCTAAGCGACACACGCATGGCCGTTTGTCGTGCGCGCGTGTATGCCTTTCTTTTCACTTCTCTTTCACGCCGGCTTCGTGTTGCATGATTGTAGAACATGTGTATTCCTTTTCCGTATTCGACTCGGTTAGGTAAGCAAGTAGAATGAAGCGTGTTCTGGTAGAGATTCTCGAATATCGTTTCACGGTGAGCGTTCACCTAGAATGTACAACTTGCGGTATTAACTGTCGGTATTCAAATAACTGCCTGTATCGGATGATCGTAGTGGTTGTTGAACGTTTCGTTAACATTTCCTCTTTCTGTACCGGAAGATGTAAACGAACGATTTGTAAGATGGATCCAGCGATTCGAGCTTTAATCGTTGCCGGTTAATATGGCGTTAAATTGTCCGTTGAAACCAGTGGAATCAATAATAGAATTAACGATTACCGGTGCCGTTCGTTTGAACGTGATCTTTCACCGGTTATTGGTATGCATTAACGGCTAAATGTCGGATGTTGTTGTTAATAATACGTCAGAGATAACGATACATTGTGTCCGTCCGTATCGCTGGATGCAAGTATAAGTACGGTATGATCGTTAAAAAATAATGAATTCGCTGGTTTATTTATGTCTGTAGTTATTGCTAGTCACGGAGAGCGGCACGAATTTGCAAGTGAAAAAACGTCCACCGCATTTTGTAGCAATAAATTAGCAAAGCGATAAATTACACCGGATTCAAAACTGAATTTACTGTCTCGTGCAAAATCGATATTAGAAGTCTTTTTATCGTCGATCGGAATGATGAAAAATACATAAACGATGAAATGTAATCTTTATTTATGCGCGGCATTATAAATTCCATCTCTTTTTATGTGTTTTGCTTGGCAAAGTCACTTTGTTGCCGGCGAATATATTCTCATTGTGTTTTTCTATGGTTGTTTTGATGGAAAGGCATAAAAAGACATGGAAACAATTTGTAACGGGTTAGAGGCAAATGACGAACCCTTGAATCCCGAACGGTAGATGGAAACTGACCTACGGTACACGTGTTTATAGTTATTCTTTCTGCAGGGGGCATTGTAGAGCAGTGTTGGGACATTGTTATGCCTCCAATGTTTCGTAAAACGCGCTAAAAGCACGCTCCAACCATCGCTCGTGACCTGAACCTAGAATACAAATACCCCATAAAACTAATTGCAACGGTATATTAATAATATATTTAGCTTCCTGTTATAGCCGATCAAATTAACCTAGTTACCTCTCCACTCTATAAACATTCGTCCTGTATTTTTGCAGCATCGGCTCATCGTGTTAACAGCGATATAAATATAATTTCTACCTGACCAGTAGTTAATAATAACGGCCCAATTAATACTATCGGACCATTGCTCGTCTAGAAAGTCATGGTACCTACGAAGAACAGAATTAATCAGTTATTCTATATCTAGCCGCTTCGATATTAATAGCGAACTGACACTAATCTTGTTAGGTAATGTGTACTTACATCTGTGTGTAATTATTCTTGGGCAGACACGTTGCTAGTGCAGGTACTGTTCGTCAAAATACCTTTCGACTTTGTAATTGGACGATAGAGCCGACATATTTTCATCAGAAGCGTTCCGCCAATATAACCTCGAATATAACCTCAAATCGCTGCTTCGTCTCGTGTATTAATTTACGCGAAATTCCATGTTGCCCATCGCATTGCCCGACGTCGCCTGCGTAACAAACAATTCGTAAATAGATACTGCAGTCGCGTTGGAGAATCTCGTCGATTTTCAATTTAAAGAAACAATAAGCACGCATAGCACGGGAAAGCGTTATTCGCGACGCGAACATCGTAGACTTTTGAAATCTTCGCTCGTTTCAGCCACCAACTATTTGCCGTGTTCCGCATAATGCATTCCGAGTATAGCTTGTACAAGAGCCTTTGTTTGCGGCAATATTAGCGCGAACAAAGTACCGACGGCGTTTTGCCGCGTGTATTTGTGGCGGACAAGCGAGTGCTGGTCTGTCGTCGACGTCGCGTTCCTCTCAGCGACGCTCGTGAAAGGCACTCGTGTATTTTTAAAGCGGTCCAATTCGCCGGCCCGTGCATTGTTTTTCGTGTTTTCACGATCGTCGAGATGAGTCGCGCGCGAAGCGATGCGTCCTCCATCGAGAATGTAACGAAGAGGGCTGCGAGGCTCCTTCAAGGTTTCGTTCCGATACTATACACCAACGAAAATAAACCAATCCGAAATAATTGGCTCTTGCCGTACGGACACCCTTGCTTGCTTTGTATACTCGAGGTTAAAGATGCCGAACGCCTTCTTGAAAGATCCGTGCGATGTCGTGCGCGTCACTCCACGTTATCTCGACAGCACTGCGGCGGTTTCAACGGACAATGGCAACGATCGAGTTGACAATGGCGATAATCGTCTGGCCGTGATTCCGCGCGAATAACTATCGGTATAATTCACTCGTGCTATAACTATCTCGTCGGCCGGCCTGTTCACGCGTTTCTGACGAATAGTTAGGTTAAAATATCGCGTTATATCCGGCGCAACTTCGCATGCAGTTCACGCGATCCACGAATTAACGTCTCCTAGCGTTCAGATTTTAAGTTACACCGACGACGAAATTCGGTAGAGTGCGCCACGGTCCATATCCCACGTATCAAAGACATTTCGACGAAACTCTCTCTCTAATCGTCGAGCATACAAATCGTTTTCTAAATCCAATTTCGTTATCAACACCTTGGAATAAATTCGACGATGTATCATGTCACCGAGCTTTCGTGCTTTTTCTTATCTACGAAGGAACTTAACCAAGGTAAAGGAATTGTTCGATATATTCGTGAATAATTATACGTTTCAACGTGCTAACGTTTACCGTAAATCATATCCTAAGCGGTTTTCAGCCTTGCTGTAATTCAGCCAACGTTTTCTGGCTACTTTTAGTCAAACGTTCGTCTCGCGTGTTTTTCAAGCGAAAAATTTCTGCCTGTGGCTAACGGTGCTGGAAGCTCCCGCGAAAAAGGAATTCGAGTAATGGAAACTATCTTCTCTGACGCATTTTAAAGAGTGTTTCTTTCAAGTTTGTCGCACGGCGTTCGCGAAGCGATCAAGGTACGCTCAGTCGATAATACTATATCGATGGATAAATCATAACGGGACACGAGCAGCACTCGATTTTTCTCAACGCGTGCGTCGATATAATTTACAACGGTGTCAGTTTTTATTAGACCCTCCTTTGGCAATATTTGCCTCGGAGCACGAGCAACGAAGACAGAAGAGGGTTACGAAGGAACCGTCTTCCTTCTTCATTCTTCGTGGTGCAGCCTTATCGGGCAACGTTCGCAAGAAGTGTCTATTCGTGATTCAATAAAGTCCTTATCTGGTTTACGAGTGCGTAAGAATAACTTTACGAGCCGAGAACGAAGGGAACGCCGTCTCTCGCGGTAGTCGCTCGAATGTAACGCAGCCGAGAGATTTATTGGGATAAATCCCAAGCCGGATAGCATCCGCGATCGGATGGCGGAGTGGTTAATTGGAGTCGTTGTCGAGTACTGGTGCTCGTAGGCAAGTTGTGTCGCAAGATACCGCCACGGTCGTCCGAAACAGAAATTTCGAAGTGGTTTCGTCGTTTTCATCGGACCGTATGTCGCGATTGTAGCAAAGCAGATACAGAGATCAACGGTTCAGCTAATCCAGTGACATTTCGGTTTAATCGACGGGCCAGACAGAGTGGGAATGGGATTAGGCGGCCGGTATGCCTGAACGTTTCACGATCGTGCTTCTAATCCTGCTTTCCAGAGGGCGAAGTTGCAGCGAGAGCTTCGCGTGTCGAGCTGCCGCGAATTTCCTACTTTCTAATTGCGTATCCGCTGGAATAAGTTTCGCTTACATGCGTCCTCTCCGTTTCTCGCTTCTTCTTTGTCTCCTTTCTCCCCTTCCCTATCAGCGTTTCGGTGTCGCTGTGTACGCGTTGCCTGTACGTGTTTGCGTAGTCTATCCGAAGTGCATGCTTTTCACGGCTGGGTTGAAACGCCCGATAATCTTCGTATCCGATCGATTGACGTCCTCGCTAATTACGTTTCTATTTTTGTTCTCAGATTGGATGAGCCCGTTCGACAGAGTCGTGTGCGGTGAGTACCACATTATTGTTATTAACGTAGTTATTCGCTGAAACGTCTTAGCTGAACATTTTTTTCCACGGAGCGTTGATATTGAAGACGAGATTTCCGACGCGAGCGAGGAAAGTGTTCGTTTTGCGAGTTGCAAAGAATTTCAAAGAATTCGAAAGGCCGTGTGGAATCTCGGCACGAAGATTGTTAGCTCGGAGCGGCCGAGGAGGTAAAACGAGACTCCAGATACGCAGGGACCAATCTGTTCCCAAGCGTGCGCCGCTGCCACATATGGCAGCCATATTTTCAAACGTAAGAGCCGGTTTCATTCACGAAGCGCAATCATACAAGACGGTTACCACTTTTTCGTGGCTCCTATTTCAACTGCCGGTCAAATTTCCGGTTTTATGATCAACTCCTCGATACGTATTCTTCTTCAAAACAGAGATTATTAAATTGAGCAGTGACGCGAGATGGAGGTTAGGTTGAATGAATTTTATATTCCTCTCTTACCATTCGCTGCTTTTGTCGACGCTTGCTGAGCTGACTTTCGGGCAACAACGAATTTTATACTTGATACTCCCTTTACAAGGTTCCCTTTACAGCGAAAGTTCAAAGTCAAAGTTGAATAGAGGTTAGGTCAGGTTGCACGAATTTTATTCCTGTATTCCCGTTGCTTCTTTAGCCGACGATTACCGAGTTGTAATATTCCCGGCAACAAACACGCGAATTTTCTCGTACACTTAACCCGTTGCCCTGCGATTTTGGTTTCGATGGCGCATACCATAATCGCAACAGCATAGTCACGCATCGAGAGCCACTTGATGCAAACACGACCAAGAGAAACGCGTAACTGAGACAGAGAGACATCGACGAAAACTAACCTCGTATTGTTTACGTTGTTACCTGCGGACAACGTCTCTCACCCGTGATAACCACGTTTAGCCCGATTTCCTTACCACGTGTCTCGCACGATATCGTACGCGAAGAAGTTAACGCGCCAGAGATTTCCTTTACAGGGGTAAGTTAAAAGTCAAAGTTGAAAGATTCGAGCGATAAAAAACAATGTCCACGGGTCGTTAAACTTGGCTGGCAATTTCCCCTAACAATATATCCGCGGAAGGAAGTTGCTTTAAAGCTAATTCGTACGCCTGTTCTGCCGTTTGATCCTCTCCCGTAGGATGATTGCCGTAGTTGTCGCTTTTATAAGATGGCGCTGTTCGCGGATTCATTGCGGCGTAAAAAAGGTGTCCTTGGAGAACGCAGCCGGTCCGTGTGGCGCTGCAAAGTGTGTCAAGAAAAGTCAAGGGCACCGCTTAAAGGTCGTTTACTCGAATCCTGGTGCCGGTAGCACGTGCTACCGACTCGTACCCTATTCATTTATGTTAGTTGCGCATGCAAGAAGGACATGTATACGGCCAACTACACCTGTCGTCACCGTGATAATGTCGGCCGCAAATTATCCCCGTGACTATGTTTTATATGGCCTATTACGGGCTCACAATGACGTAGTAAATAGCGATTAGGTGAAATTAAAACTTCAGCCATCGGACTTATCGCGATGGTTTGTTTACATTCGGCGGATCATAATTTCAAATAGGAATACGGTGCGATTACAGCAGGAAGTGACTGGTGTACGATGGGAACAGTTAGTCGGTCGGTGAATCACGTCCAAATTTATTCATATAAACGAAACACAATTGGCCATTGTACGTCGCGTCGTGTCGATCGTGCGCCGAGAATGAGCTCGTTCTTTCGACAATTTCTTCAGCGGAAGGATACCGCTGAACCCGGCTAATTCCTTCCCGAGAGATCATAATTCCGTTCGTATTACCGTGTTTTCAAACATCTTCCCCCAGCCGTGTCTTGTACTTTACACCGCGTTCGCGTACACATTCCCGAGCCTCCGTGGCCAGAGTCGGGTCGCGTCGGTGTGACAAACGAATCTTCTGTTTTATAAACACGATTCCTGTTAGGCTTCGGATGGCAGTTGTCCGAGATACGTAGCCTCTCTGGCACCATCCTCGGCGAGACGCCCATGCCCGACGAGAGCGCGAGAGAGACGTGACGTTAATGCATTTGGAAGTTGGGGTGCGTCAGCCAAAATACCTGTGGGAACGTTGCACGGAGACCTCCAGGATGCTTGACTAATTGTAATTGAAGTTATGTACGCGAATCAACGTTAGCTCGGACACACACCATGCATAATGCATCGTCCATCCGTCGCGTATTTCTTTTTCCCCGATCTCTTTTGCATCGACAATCGCGAGAGGCACAGACGCGCGCGCCATCTTCTCAGCCGGGGCTATCTCGCTGGCGCGTTGGAATTAGTCGCGACGTTTTTGCTCACGTTTCCAGCTTTATTTTATAGACCACGCGAAGATAAAAAGGTTGCTCGAAACTTGCCACGTCTCTCGCGTCGTTCTCGCATATCTCCGCGCCGTGTTCTTCTCGCAGGCTTTCGATCAGTACGAAGAGAGAGAGAGAGAGGTTAGGAACAAAAAGACGCGCCCAGGCACGAACGTCGCGACGGCCACTTCCGAAATTTTAATATATCGGAAAGGGCGAGTTGGAATTCCGCGGCACCGACTCGCGTTCGCTATAAAGTAATATAAAAATAGCACTTTGAATTCAACTCAAGCGGCGTCATTCTTTTTCTTCCACCCCGTTGCAATATCCGTCGCCGTGTCTATGGACATAATCTATCGCCGGTACGTGAACGTACTACGCTTTCGAGTATAGAATTGGGATTGGCGGCCGGGTGGCTTGGAAGTCTGCACCGATAGAATGCCACAGGCTCCTCTCTCGCCTTAGAATTCTGTTGCGAGGAAAAATTACGTATCCGCGCTGGTTGGTGCCCGTTTCTCTTCCATCGATATATCTTTTAGCGCGAAATATCGCCGAGAAACGCGTACACACGCACGCATACAGAGTCGGTAGAGATTAACGACACGGCGAAATGCAGCAGCGAACGCTTCGCGGGGAGGGAAATGCGCATTGCGACAAATTATACGTCTCACGCACACGCGTTCGGCGTGGTAAAATTAGGAAAGAAGCGCGTCCATTTTATAATACAGAATTAACTCGGAGATACGTGTGTATCTAATCTTTCACTGGCGGTATGTGAACGTACTGCATTTTGAGGTCAGGGATCGGCGGCCTGCTGATGGCTTCGTGGATATTCCGCGAGACTGTTTTTCTGTGCGCGTTGCTCGCTTGCACCGCCATTCTGGACAGCGACCAAATTTTCAGCCAACCGAATTCGTAACGTATATTCCACTAGGATACGTATCTTCGCTATTTTAGAGATTTAAAGCGAGACATTCGCACGGGTTACACGGCCAGCCGTTAATCCTCTAGGTTGATGCGGCGCGTGGCCGATAGAGGCGCGAAGGTAGTCGCAGGAACGTTCGAAAATCTACGCGATAGTTGCATAATTCAGACCGTGTCATTTCTCTTTCTCCATCTCTGTCGGCGCCGAATGTTCGGCGCTTTCACGACAGGGTTCAGTGGCCAGTAAACGTCTAGTCGGGTTTTGTATACGCTCGGCTATCGCGAGATAATGTATAATTTATAAACAGTTCGATCTGCCGGTAACAGTGCGCCGGCAAACATTCTTGTTAGCTTACTCAGGACCGTGCCCGACGACCGTTCCGTGTTCCTCCACCCTTTGATTAACCCTCGCTGCTGCTGCGTCGTTCCGAGAAACGTTTACCCCGGTAACCGTAACGGAGAAGAGCAGCAATAGTAAAATCTGCCAAATTACAAGCTGCGTTTCTCTTTTTTTCCCCCCCCCGGTCGCGAGACGTTGACGTTGCACTGTGGGAACACGATGCTTTTACTTTCGCCCCCCCCTGTCCTGCAAAAGTGGCATAAAACTGTCGGACAATTCGCCGAATAGTCTCGTTGCGTGACACGACGATGGGATTATTCGAATAAAAAGGAATCGTTGGTATAAATCGGTAGACGATTATCAGGGACGTGATATGGGACGACGATCCAGGGGTTGCTACGGGGTAACGCGATTTTTGTTGGCTACCCCCCGACGATACCGCAGCCCAACGAGCCTTTAATCTATCCCTGGTCCGTAAACGGTGTGCATTTTAATGTCAGGGCTCGGTAGCCTGCGGACGTCTAGTTGGATTTCGGTGTGTACACGGGTCTAGCACGAGATAATGTATAATTTATAATCAGACCGTTTCTCTGGCAACAGTGCGCCACTGCATGGACTGAATCTTCCGCCCCAAAAGCCGCCAACCCCTCATTAGCATTCGATGATGGCTGCCGCGTCCTGCAGCGTCCGTATTATCCCATTTCATCGTTCCTGCCTCCCCTACCTGGGCTTCTGCTCGTTTCCACCCGCCTTCGCTCCCTCCCACTTCGTCTCTGTCTCGCTCTCGCCTCTCTATTTTACACCTATCCTACGTCTCGCGCTCTGTGCCATGGGGCCCGGCCAGGTAGCGGACATGTTGCAGAAAAAGAGAGCCGCGCGCGGGTTCGAATTTTCGTGGAGGGAAAAGAAAGGAAGGAGAGAGAAGAAGGAAAGAAAGTAACGCGGTTGTTGAGAACGAGCTTGTCACGGACGGGTATATATACCGGTGAAAAATTTATCAATATTTTATTTATACCGAGCTCGCCTCTTTGGACACGACAAAGGTGTCCAACGTTACTCGACCCTCGGGCATCCTTTCGTCCCCATCGTTGGAAGTAAGAAACACTGTCGAAGGCAGAGAGAGAGAGGGAGAGCGGCCCGAGAACTGCGCGACGTTTAGGGGTAATCTTGGAAGGTGGCTGCGTTCAAGGACTCCGGCGGGAAGCCCCGCTTCCGGAGGCCGAGGAGGCCAGGTCAGAATCGTGTTGTCACTGAGATTATTGAAACTGCAGTTTTATGGGCCTTAAAAGCAGTTTAATTGCTGTTATATAAGTGTTTATGCGCTGCCAGGTTTGGCCTCCGCCTGCGCCACCCCAAACGTTTATTTTATGGTCATACAGCGACCACGGCGCGTACCCCGTTTTGTCGC